ATGGGTTTCACATCACTGACTCACTGTCATATCTGAAATGTTTACCAATGACAAGTTTTGATAACGCCATAACAACAAATGCACAAATGATTTTTTCAAAATGAAAAACGATTCAAATAGTTGTCTTATAACATTATCAAAAAAAAGTAATGGACTTAAAAGTCATTTAACAATTTATCAGCTGATTGTAAGCAACCATTTAACCAACCGCAGTTTTACAAACTGCTAATATTATCAGCTAATCAAAACAGCCAAAAGAATTCACTGTCATCAATCAACTAATCAAAACAGCCAACAGCTATTTGCCAAACACCCCATCATGTACGTTTTTTATTTGCTACTTTTCTCTTAAAGAATCTGCAAACGGAAGACGACACCCTCATTTTAAAGGAGGTTCAAAACCATCCTGTTTCATTTCCAAAAATTTAAAATTTGGATTGTGTTTGGTGTACACAAAAAGTGTACATTTTTTGTACACTACTTCTTTTTGTACATAGACAATTGAAAGACAAATGCTACGGCCTTGGTGACCCCCACGACCACAACTATCGACACACGAGATGCGATGCTCATGGACCTTCAGAGGCAAATAAACGAGTTGAGCCGATGAGAGGATACTGATCCAGCTCAGCCCAGAATTGCCCCGTGCAGCTGGTCACGGCTGTTCCCCTCGGGAGGGAAACCTGCAGGACCTCTGGGGGCTCCTGATGGAGTATATGGCCCAGGAACCCCGCCCCATAGACTCCTACTATTCTTATAAAGGCCCAATAGGCCCAGGGGGCACAGCAGGCCCAAAACACAGCGCCCCAAGTACTAAGCAACCCCCTTCGGGGTCCTATCTTATGTGTTACCGCTACCGGAACCTAGTTAGGTCTCCGATTCGGGGCGATGTTGTCTCATTTGACACGACACATAAGACAAACAAGGGTTATCGTCCATTAGGAGTATTTGTGGGACTCAATAATCATAGAAAAACAGTCATTTTGTAATCGAAAACATTCAAATTGGTAGAATTTATGAAGTTTTAGCTGAAGTGATTGAATTAGGTGATTCTATTGATTTATGGGGGGGGGGGGGGGGGGGGAATATTTAAAATATTTTTAATTAATTCAATGAAGAATAATTTCTATGAAAAACTAGTTAAAATTCTCGACCCCGCTTACAAGGAGATTGATGTCATGAATAACTATGGATTCGATGAAGAACTCAAGGCCCGTGTTCTTGAACCCCGAGAGAGGCTAATTGCCCTATTGTGCTTATTTATTTGTTCACATATAAGAGAACAATATCTATTACTTATTTCTTATTGTGCGAACTAGAAATGTATTCTTTGGTTATTATAGCGCTATCCCCCAAGGGGAAGCAGGCAACAGACCATGTCTCGGGCTGAGGGGATGACTTTCAAAACCATCTTTTTTAACGAATTGCTTGTGTACACAAGCAACTAAAGAGTGTACACATTTTGTATATCTAAAGCATTTTTCTTAAAATTTTAACCCAAATCAGATTAGCTTATGTTCGTATGGTACGCGCGTGTTTGATACTCTGACATACGTACCACATTGGGGATGTATTCTTTGTCCTTTTTAAGTTCGGTTTTGGAGGAATCTAGAAATGACAAATTTAACAAAATAAAATAAAACAAAACAAATGAGAGTTGGAAGTAATAGTACAAAAATTGATATTTTAGTTACATTCAAACTAGTACATACTCCGTAGTACATATACCAAAACTAGGATGGCTACGTGTTACGCCTAGGGATGACAACATGGCGGATCGGAGATGATTTTACATATAATCGTACCTGTCTCATTTGGTAATTTCATGCCCCATAACCGCCCCATTACCCAACGGGTAATATCCAAACCATAACCGCCCCAACGGATAACGGGTATAACTGCGGGTAACCGTGGATAATCGCTTTATTAAATGAATCATTGATATAAAATAATATTTTAAAAGGCGAAAAATGACATCACCTAGATTACTCTAGACTAATATGCCACGTTAAAGTTTCGTATATCTACAAGATGAGAAAGAAGACATCCTAAATTAACTTGTACCTAAAAACACTTAATCTGAAAAATAATTAATCATAAAAAAATCTGATAATAACCAAACAAGACTATTAAAATCTATTATGAAATTTCATTCATACATTATAATTAGTACATCTATTATTCATATATACGCAATGAAACTAAAAAAAACTTCATCTTTTAATAGTTGTGGGACAAATAATAGATACGAATGTAATAAAAATATAACTAAAAATAAATGGGGTGAGTACGAGGCTGGTAATGGGGTGAGCATGTATAAAACCGTAACCACCCCATTACTCGTAAAAATAAAACGGGTATTACTCACCCCGTACCCGTTATCCCGTCAATGCGGTTTTCTCCGTTTTGATCGAGACGGTTCGATACGAGTATCCATGTGATCAGCCACAATTGCCATCTCTAGTTACTTCCATCTTTGTCCCAACCGAGACCGAAATTCAGATCTGGAACGAGAGCAGGTGAAGTGGCGGTAGTGCATTTAGTTTCAATTCATTGGACTATTTATTCTGTTTTGTTTTTAGATTCCTTACAAAATCAGAACCAAAATGATGTTGTTTTGGAATGTATTGAAACAAAGGTTATGGTTAAAAATTATAAAACCATACTAAAAAAAAATTATAAAACCATATATGACTTCTTAAATTTATGAAGTCGTATGCGCTACGTTGAGATTGTCCCTAAAAACATAAATGATGGTGACAGAGGTGGAGGAGGACCGATACAAAGAATATTTTCGGAAAATTTTTAACACGAAATCTTTAATATTAAAAATATAAAAAAATTTTAAATGGTAGATTCTATGGTATCCTTAAAGTCCCACCATACCTTTGTCCACATGTACCAATCAAAATGATGTAGTTGAATTATTTAAATCTAAATTAAAAATGATGTAATGATTTGAATCAATCAAGTTAGTGGTAGGTATGGTACCTCATTTTTTAAATGGATACCGAAGTTGTCACCTTTTTTAATTTAGGTTGGATGAGGGCTGGTCACCCCCTAGCGCTACGCCCCTCGGCCCCTGGATGGTGGTGATATCAACTTAGTTAATACGGAGTATGACTCTATAAGAGTTACACTTAATTCTCTTTCTATCTTTGCTCACTCAATCAACCCCACCATGAATGGTCTATTTCCTCTAAGTCGGCTCCAAACATATACTCCCTCCGCTCCTAAATAAACTTCACATTTTTCTTTTTAGGTAGGTCCAAAATAAACTTCACACTTCTTCTCCCTTCCTTATTTGACAAATTATCTACATCAAAACAGTGCAAAACAATGCAAAACAGTGTCAAACAGTGTCACAACAGTGTACTCTACAGTAAAGTCAAATTTATTTTTTTAATTTATGTGAAGTGAAAGTGTGAAATTTATTTAGGACCGGAGGGAGTAAGTTATACGATATCTTCACATATTTTTATCATTTCTTCCTTATCATTTCATTTTCTGCTATTTCGTTCCACTTTGTATGCGTAGTTCAAGATGATTGTTTGAATTATTAAATAATTCAACCACATCATTTGAACTAAAACTAACGATATTTTACCCAACTAGGGACTGTATAATACATTCATTCCAGAATTAGATGTTAATTATAACATGGTTTGATTTTTGAAAAATTGAACCAGAATCGTCTGTTCAATTTGCGAAACGTTTTAAATAATACGGAGTAATAATATTAACAACCAAAAGTATAATGAGCAGGTCTCAAGTTCGAGTTCCATCTCAATCAAAGATGTTGACAATAATTAACATGAGCAAATAGTATAATAAGTTTAGAAGAATATTCCAAAAAAACAATAATAGTTTTTGCATTATATTGATTGTTCGTTGCTATATTAGTTATTACATTGTTATAATATTTTTTTGTGTCAAAATTATTAGTTAATAGTATTCAAAATATACTAATAGCGAAATTAGGTTAAAATACTACCTTGCACGCATTTTCTAATTCATAACTACTTGTTATTATTACATGTTAATTATAATACAAGTATTAGTATATTACTTCTTCCTTTTGTTTCTTTAATTTGAACACTTGTGTTTTAACGTTTCTCAATGAAAAAATTTGATCACTCATATACGAAGTATTTCATTGACTAGTTTGTTGTTTATGATCCTTATCAATCAACATTTTCACTAACTTCATAACTTGATTTTTTACGTTGAATGTATAATAATAATAATAAGAATAAGAGTAATAATAATCATGATGATGATAGTAATAATAATAATAATAATAATATAATGATAATACTAATATAATAAAAATAATAAAGTAAGTCTGAATTTACTTTTCTGGTTGAAATTATTGAAGATAACTGTTTTAACTATTTTATGTATACTTTTTTTATTAATTTGATTAATAAAACAGATTCTAAAATTAACAAATTCAGCCACTTTTGGCAAAACTTTATCAAATTGAATAGATCAAATGTCGATTTAGTAACACTAAAATTGATTAAATCTGGTAAAATTGATAAAGTTTTAGTTGAAGCCGATGAATATGCTAAATTATGTAAAAATATATATTTAAAATGTACTCTATGAAGAAAGTAAAGCAAAAATTACATGAAAACAGTTAAAACATTCTTTTACAATAACTATAGCTTATTTTGATTATTATATTCCATTTGTTTCATTTTTATTGTCTTATATATTTTCCTTTTGGATTGTTCCAAAATGAATGTCGTTTACTTTTTTGTTAAGGAATATATGACTTATATTATTTTACTTTATTTTATTTCAACATCAATTACAACTTTTATTTTTTAATCACTTTATTAATAATTGTGCTATCTAAAAGTAACTAGACAAACGGACTAAGATAGTACCAGACTATGTATGGTGAAAAACTAGGCAAGACTGAAAAACATGACACCAAACAATCCCTAATTCAGCCTTTTTTTACAGTATCCCTAATTCAGCTTTACAGTTATGATGATGATGAAGCGGGCTATGAATCTGTGAACCTTATCGAATAAAAATAAACTCAAGTTTGCAACATAGTATATCTGCCACATTAAAAGCGTGGTAAAAATGAGGATTGATGTGTAATTTACATCCATGGTACATCTGGGACCACTTCCATTTTCTCTGAACAATCTAAAACAGAGAAACCGTAGCTCTGAGGATTTCCACAGAAAGCTACCTTCTTCGCGATCTTCCAGGTTTCTTTTTATTTGCTTCTCCTAATTTTGGTCCCATTTCAAAGTCTCTTTCAATTGATTACTTTTCTGTTTTGAGCTTATTTTGAATGAGACGATCCTAGCTCGTGTGGGTTAAAGGTGATAAAAATGGGTGAGATGATGTCTATAGATCATTAGCTGAGCTCATAAGGTTCTGCTTGGTGCTCGATTGTCCTTCAGGTTTTACTAGAATGATGAAGAGATCGTAGCAGATCCGAGATTTCTTTAGCATGTAAACTTTACTCGCCGTCCAGAGTCAAACTGGCTAATATAAGGAATTTTACATTCATAAACTAAATACATTCCTATGATATAAGCTATTTGCTTTCCTGATTCTTTTGAATGTTGGAACCTTATATTGGATACCAATGGACATTCATAGACAAACAGTAGAACTTTGTCTGGCATGGGTATTTGATGTTGTACTCTGCTTTGTAGTTTTTGTGCTTTTGTTCTTGGAAGGGAATTAAAATCTCACTCACACATGACATCTTATTTAGTTAGATTATTAGATTTCAAATATGCCAAATGGTTGTTATATCTTAAAGCTCTTTCGTAACATTAATGCATTAACTATCATTTCCATGGATTGTATTCTTTTTATATGTTGTGTAACTTTCCTTTCTAAAGGATTCAAAAATGACATTTAAACGGGTGGGACGATGTAAATTACGGGAGGAAGTGGTCAAGTGTTGGCATACCCTTTTGAAGAAACTAAATATCTATATAAATAAATATAGAGAAAGTGAGAGAGGAGACGAGGGTGCAACAGTTTCTGAACAAAAATCTGTCATCTGAGATGTATCAAGGCCTCCATGCGATGATGCAATATTGTGGAGAAGTAATCGATCCCGGTCCGATTTGCCCAACTGCCATTTCTTGACAATTTAGTTCTAATAGTTCTTCTCTTTCCTTTCCATCATTTCCAATGGAGCCAAAGATTCGCTATTTTTTGGCTTGGGAATATGATGGAATAAAACAAAAAGACTGACTTAACTGTCTGCGCTTCTTTGTTATGAAGCAGCAGTCAGTCCATGCAACTTTCGACACGATTTTCATCACGAGGTCATCTGGAAATTGTCTCTCCGTGCTTTAGTATAGAGGTAAGACTGCGTACATCTGACCCCCTTACCCCCACTGGGGTAATGTGGTTGTTGTTGCTGCTGCTGTAGTTTCTTCTCTTTCCATTGGATCTAAAACACTTCCTTAGAGTTTCCATTAATTGTGTATCTACTGTTTGTTTTTTAATTGCTGTTTTTTGGGACTATGGACTTGGACCAAGCCCCATGGCTCGTCATCTAGTGCAAAGCCCATAGCATCAGGTTCATCTGCCTGCCTAGCCAGATGTGCAGCTATTGGGTCAGACACTGTCTTGGCCAGTAGCTCGAACCCCCAGCTTGGTGTTGCCACGAACCATCCTTATGATCATTTCTCTGGAATTGAAGTTGGCTTCCGGACTTTGCCAAGGAGCCAGGAAGACTTAATCAGTGGACAATTGTAACTTCCCTATACTCCTGAGTCCATTAATTATTAGTGGACACGCTCCCCGCCTGTGTAGGCATGATGTAGTAGTGCTTTCGTTGTATAAATCGGTCCTTGCGGCTGAATTGTAACCCTCATGTTATTTAGCATACTTAAGCAACAGATCATACAATTTTCTCTTGAATAATTGAATGTTACTTTTCGTTATTCGTATTTGGTTCCTAATTTGGAACAGTTCTTTTCTTTATTCTTTCTCTGTCCAATGACATACATAAGTTATAGCTACTGTTGCAATAACTCTTCTTTTTGAGTTTCTTTATTTAAAGACCTTTGAATAAAAATATAAATGTTATGCTATTTTATGAAAGAAGAGTACTTGTCACGTCATAGCAGGAATTTATTCGCCAGCCAAGTCTCTTTTTTTAACTACTTGTTATTCTGAAATCCATTTCTAAACCTGTTTAAAACACAATCACCGTACCAGAAATTTGTAATTGGAAATGCATTTACTTTATTATTGATTACTATTTAGAAGAAGAATTAATTCTCTATAATTTCATTTAAGGAAATGTGTCCCCTCTTACTCTTTCCTCTGCACCCTCCCCCCTCCGACAACCCAAACTTCCAAAACTAGAAACTCCCTTCATTAAAATGTGGTTGAATACTTTTTTTAAGATGTTAACAACTTAAAGTGAGTGCCTATTGTGTATTTGTGTAGACATAACAGGGTCATAGGGTTTGGCAATACTTGATGTAGTTTATTTTAGCGCCTTGACTTGGAAGTTGGAACTCTTGTTTGATTTTTTAATTGCTACGCAGGCAGGGGCATTACCTCCTTACTGTTTACAATTGGGAAACAAAACTACACAAATTACAATTTAGGACAAAGAGAAAGTAAGGATGCGGAAGTGGCTTTGTTGCATCCGTCACGTTGAGGAGTCATACCCATCACATGAAAGTGAGCTACTAAAAGGCCCCACAAATGATGCTGATGGTAAATATCTGTCAGTTATATCTTGCTTGAACTATATTTTAATTACATCTTTCGGTTGCAAGATAGTTTCATTTTCTATCTTTTGGTGCATACTTTTAATTAAAGGTGTTACACGCTTTCTTGGTTCATTGGATGATTTAGATATTGTAAATTTTATTTGATGCCATCATAACCTCTTGTTAATTTGTACTCTCTCTATCTACAAATAAGTAAACAACAAGGCATCTTACTATTTCGATATATGTAACAAAAATGAGTACTTACCACGAGTTTAATACATTACTATTTATACAGCCTCGTCACCAAAACTATCCTTCTAAATTCAAACTTAAATGATAGTAGTTATCATTCATTAATTTCATTATGATGCGACAAAATCACAATTACACTATCAGTTTTCTTGGACTTGAAAGTTCTCTTCTTGATCCTGTGTTTTTCCCTAAAAGATGGGTCATTCCTACAAGAAGGGGGTATATATTTTGCAGACCCAATAGTGAGTGCCCGAAGCTTGAAAAAGTACAAGCGGCTTGATTTTTAATTCATTCTCTGCTAATTAAGCAAATGAGCATAGACCCTTAAGTAAAACAAAACTCATCTACCAGGTTGGTTTTTTAATAGTCTGGTCAGTAATCTTCCATAACTAAATTGCAAACTCTTTTTAATGAACGTTTGATAGTTTGATGAACAGTTAACTGGTGATACATCTGTGACAAGTGATAATCAGTGTTTTTTATCTATTGGCATCTGGCTGAGAACTTAGGAAAAGCTAACTCAGAGGTATCTAAAACCTAACCAATCATATCCAGTATGTTCCACTCAAAGTAGTAGGAAGGGTGAGATCTACAACGACCTTAACTTTGACTTTAGGATTAGAGATGTTCTTTTCGTGAAGACCATCTGCTAAGGAAAAAATTGGTGTTACTGGAAGATATCTAAACATCGTAAAGTTTCTTTTCGCTGCAGTAGACCATCCACCACTAAACTTGTGGCAAAAGGACATTTCACATCATCATATAAGTGTGGAAAATTTCTAAGCCACATTTCATAGGATGTTCTTAACCACTAGTTTAGCAGTGGGTGGTCCACTGTGGTGGAGACTTAGCAATCCTAAACACAACATGCAGACACAATACAAAATGACATGATGTGTAAATACGAATTACATGGAGAAATACACAACTTAGACATGACACAAGAACGATACATAATTCAACATGATGTACAAATTTATGAATTTCATAAGAGTTGTGTTTATTTTTATCTTTGACCTGAAATAAACTGATGAAACATGGTTTGTATGTATTTCTTTCCTTCATTAGACTGGTTAGTTTCTTTCCTTCATTAGACTGGTTAGTTGCTTTCCTTCAATAAGTTAATCTGCAGCTTTATTGCTTTCCATCTTTAGATTGGTTCATTTTAAGAATTGATTTTATGTAATCCTCCCTTATCTTATCCGTGTTTGTAACCCTTATTATAAATAGGGACTCTTGTTTTGGTTAATAAACAAGCCAGTATTGAATACAAATTAAGGAGAAAGGAACTCATTAAAATTACTTAAGCTTTACCTCTACCCTGCGCCCGTTATTTTCCTGTACCATTCCTTCCCTCCTGTTTGCCTGCAATTATAGAATAAGACACGAGCTCTAGCCCTGGAACATAACATTATCTGCCTTCAATAACTGTAATTTATGATATTAGAGAAGAGATTTGTTGGAGGAAGCTCATTTTATGGACCCAAAAGAGTATATGTTCCATATTCCTAGGGAGCTTCATAGAACGGAAATAGTACATGAAGATTGTGGAAGATGGTACCATGTGCCATGGATAAATCATAGGCTCGTAGCCACTATTTACCTGCCACATATTGAAATTGGACATTTATAAGGTTGACTGGTTGTTTTGTAGGAACTGGATGCTTACTATGCTCACTTAAATTCACGTAATTTGATCACGGTTGACTGCTGAATGACTCTCTTAGTAGTTCTTAAACAATTCATCTGCAACTAATACAGTTAGTTCTATTACTTCTATATAGTCATGTTCCATGATGCAGATCTGCAGTTGTTTCTTTTACAATATCAATTTTGCAATGTGAATTAATTGCATGACCATAAAAACTATCTGAACTCATCAATGTCTCATGATATTTTTCCATGCAAGTAGGAAAACAGTACGATTATGAGAATTTCGAAAATTTAACTCATCAATCCTTCCACAGAAGTTGCTAAAGGAATTGGACTCGGCATAAAGCTTTGCCAGTTTTCTTTTTGCATGATTATATAGTGTTAAGTAATTTTAGATAATTTCATGTCGTCAACCCTAACATAGTTGAGATTAAGGCGATGTTGATGTTGATTAATTGATGTGAATCAAACACAGTTAACCGTCAAAGAGAACATCTATCTTGTTGGAAGTTCTCATACTCATTTACTTATGTTGATTCTTTTCTTTACTTCACACTTCCCAAAAAAATATACTCATTTTGAATACTTCTCTCATGATTGGACATTTGAACTAGTGATAAAGATATTTAATTGAACTAGTGCTTCTTTACTCCCATCCACTGTCCTCATTCTTTTACATTGGTAACATTGAATTTATTAAAAAAAAAGGTTTTTTCCCGTATTACTCAGTCATCATGCATAATGTTCTTTTTCTTAATCTTCTGCCATCAAACACCATGTCAGGGGCAAGTCATTTTTTGCATAGTCTGCTAGGGAATCTGTTAAGGTGATCATATTTCTGGACCTAGTTACAATTGAAAGCTCTTAAAGTCTTTTAGATGCATTGTGATGTATTCAATGTTGATTGATCAATTTTATATTTATTCCATTATTGATTCTCTATGTACCATATGTCAGGGTATCAAAAAGGTGCAAAGGCAGTGACTCCTGCCAAGACTGAAGTGCAAAAAGCAATACCAGCAATTGAAGTGCCAGAGTTGTCTCTGGATGATCTGAAAGAACAAACTGAGAATTTTGGATCAAAGGCTTTGATTGGGGAAGGATCATATGGAAGAGTGTACTTAGCAAAGTTAAGTAATGGTCAATCTGTAGCGGTGAAAAAGTTAGATGTTTCATCAGAACAAGATTCGAATACAGAGTTCTTGACTCAGGTTCGTTTGCAACTCTAGATAAAATACGCTTAGCTATCATGTTTATGCAGGGCACATGCCTGTCAAATATCAAACAATCTGATTTTTATTTTTTACTTCGTAAGGTTTCCATGGTTTCAAAGTTGAAGCATGAAAATCTCATTGAACTGCTTGGTTATTACGTAGAAGGCAACCTCCGCATATTAGCTTATGAGTATGCAAGTGTGGGGTCTTTACATGACATACTTCATGGTAATGCCAAATATTGTATATTGACTCAAATGGGGACTATATAAGACTGACATAAAGGTGTTTGATATTATAAAGTGAAATTCCATTAAAATTGTTTTTTTATGCTTTAGGAAGGAAGGGATTACAAGGGGCACAGCCTGGCCCTACACTTACCTGGATACAGCGGGTACGGATTGCCGTCGATGCTGCAAGGGGACTTGAATGTTTGCATGAGAAGGCCCAACCACCCATAATTCACCGTGATATCAGATCAAGTAATGTCCTTCTGTTTGAAGAGTTTGAAGACTATAAAGCAAAGATTGCAGATTTTAACCTTTCAAACCAAGCTCCCGATATGGCTGCAAGGCTTCATTCTACACGCGTTCTGGGAACATTTGGTTATCATGCACCAGAGTAATGAATTTGCCATTTCTCTTCCAGAACTGACTTTTCCTTGTCCTTTGCATTTCACAAATTTACAGAGTTAAAGGGTTTTCCAAACTATAGAACCTAAAGATTTCCCCCCCTGCACTTCTTAAGACTGAATATTCGAGTCAATTCAGGATAAATATACTCCGCTGTAATTTGTTGTATCGAGTGATGAACCTACTAGTGAATATGGCTAGTACAGTAGTACATGGCTGCAGATGCATAAGATGTGTAAAACAAATCGTGTATCCCTTATATCATGTTAATGATGATAATCTAATAATCTATTATTCTCATCTTTACTATCTGGAAAGGAACCCTAATTTCATCTAGTGATTGTCAGTGAAGTGTTTAATATTTCTCCAAACTGTTGTCTTTCCAGATATGCAATGACTGGGCAGCTAACACAGAAGAGTGATGTATATAGTTTTGGGGTGGTTTTACTTGAACTCTTGACTGGAAGGAAACCGGTAGACCATACCATGCCTCGTGGGCAGCAATCACTTGTTACATGGGTGTGTATCATAGATTCTGCTTCTTTTCTATATTTTCCATCTTCCATGTTCCTTATGACCTGTTTGGATAGAAGTTCTGAAGGGGTTCAGGGAGGAAGGCTTTGGAGTGCAAAGCACTCAAGTGTATACTGTATATTTTGACAAGTAAAATATTTCATATATAATAGGTGATTGAAATGTTGTATGACCGCATATTATGTTATATCTTTAAATTTTTATCAAACCTCAAATGTTTCTCATGATATAGGCGAGCAAATTATAACTTTAGTTCTTTAACTTATGTATGTACCATTATTAGCCCTTCAACTTTACTAACTTGCAGAAACAACTAATAAATTTGTCTACATTAAGGACTTTTCCACCAAAATGTACCGTTTACAGCGGAACATTTTCATGCTGACGGTGGCTTTTCTATTGATTTTTTATTGGAAAAATCATTGATGTGGACAAACTTTTTAGTTAGAGAGAAACTTTTTAGTTAGAGAACCTGTTCTGCAAGTGAGTAAAGTTATGGGCTAATAGAGGGCACATATAAAAGCAACGGGAAATCTCCCTGATATAGACTAAGCCTCCAAAGCCAGCCTTCCCCTAAAAAACTCTACATCCAAACAGACTGTTGATTTCTTTACTGCTTGTTCTGCAGTAGCTATTTGTCTTTTTGATTAATAATTCCTACTTGCTCGAACATGCTACTTTAGGCCACTCCAAGGTTGAGTGAAGATAAAGTGAAACAATGTGTTGATACAAAACTCAAAGAATATCCTCCTAAGGGTTTGGCAAAGGTCTCTCTCTCTCTATCTCTATCTCCCTCATCATATTGTACATTTTTGTAGTTCGTAGACATTAGGCCCCCTTTGGTAAACAAGTGTGGTGGTATTTAAATTTTTAAAGGGTTATATGATTCCACCTTTGTAACTAATATGTGGAACGGTTGGTTGTCCGTTGTACGTGATAATTCAAATTAGAAAGTTGTGGTGGTGATGGTAACCAATTGCAACGGCAACTTGTTCACGAAAGGGGCTATATATCTAATAAATTAGTGGAAAAGTTTCCTTTGTTAGTATCAGGTCATTCCTATTTTAGTCACTGACTTTCAAGTTTTCCCACGTTTGCGGTTGTTGATAATTTTTGGTTACTTGTCTGGCAAAATTCAACTAGAAGTTGTACTGAATTGGTCGGGTTAGTGGTCAAAATGGCCATGGTTGACAAAGAATCTGTAGATGACACTTCAAATTTTATCCACGACAAGTGGATAGTGACCTACGAGAGTCGGAGACCAAAAGCAGGAATGGCGTAATACAATCGCCGGACTAAAAGTGAAACATCTAAGGCTTTGTTTGCAAACACTACTCATAAGTGCTTTGAACTTTTTAAAGTGATTTTGGAAAGAGTTGTGCTATGGGTACCCCATTTTTACGCCACACCTTGTGTGGTCCAAATGAGGCCACACATAAAGGTGTTGCCCCACTTAAATGTGTTGCCCCATTTTGTGGCCACACAATAGGGGGTAAAAATGGGGTACCTTTTGCATTTCTCTTTTGGAATAAGTGCTTAATAGTAAAAGTTGGTAGTGTTTGAGAAAAAATTGATTTTGAAAAGTTAAAGTTGGTAGTCTTTGGTAAAATAAGTGCTTTTTGTGTAATAGAAAAAGTAAACAACAGATTCTAGCTTTTAGCTTTTAAGTATTAATTTAAGTAGAAGTTGTCACTTGAAAGTATTCTTTTTAGCTTTTTTAAGCCAAAAGTTGGGAAGCGCTTTTTTTAAGCGTTTGCAAACGGTGCCTAAGAGAGTATAGAAAATAGACATATAAAAAGCTATTTCCAAGTATATATATATCTAAAGATGATGCTGATTGTTTTGTTACCTTTGGTAATCAGCTCGCAGCTGTTGCTGCACTGTGCGTACAGTATGAAGCCGAGTTCCGTCCAAATATGAGCATTGTTGTGAAGGCCCTTCTGCCACTCCTAAAGACTCCCGCCCCTGCTCCAGAATCCTAACCCCTAGTATATGGTTGGTTTGTTTGGTTGCTCGGAGTATGGTAATTTTCTCGCATTTTTATGCGTTAAGTTGTTTGCTGGAGAATTGCATATAGCAATTTCCCTTTCAGTACGAGATTTAAATTTCTTTGGTTTCGTTTCTTTGGCTTGTTAGGTTTGTTGCAGTGTCATAAAGATTGTTACTGAGGTTTTTGTAGTCACTGATCAATTATTCTGAGCGGTTTGGTGTGATTGTTTTCTTCAGTAATAATACTTAAATTGATATTCCATTTCCTGTGGATATGAGGTGCATATTCATTTATGTTAGCAAGATCCAAGATAATCGATTCGTTTGCCCTGCCTAGAGTTTGAGTTTTTCTTGAGAGAGCTTCACCCCAATCAGGTAGAGCACATTATCAATATTGTATAGTAAGGTTTAGTTTAAGTTGTAATAAATGTATATGTGTATAAAAAAAGATCAATTTTTTTTAAGGAAAGAAAGTTTTTTATTAAATCTCATAGGAAAGTACAAACGCCAATGAAAGATAACAGCTAATGACGGATGAAAGCTAAAGACGGATGGAAGCTAAAGAATAAAAATAAAACTATGGAAAATAGTCTTGAGTTTCTCGAGGCGAGCCTTGCACTCCTTTTAGAGTTTTAGGGACCTTAAAAGGGTTCCAAGTGGGATCTCCTGTGCGATCTAGAAGTTCTTGATCCGATAATCCTGTCGAAAAACGCATTACTTCAATTTCTTCTGTGGACTTTTCTGAACTTAACAGAGCTTGAGTGTTGAATTCTTGCCCCTCAATCGAGTTCACAATCGCAGGAGTAGCTTCATTTTTTAAGGTTGTTTCCACAACGGTGCTCTTACGGTTAATAATATTCGCAAAACCCTCTTTAGACCGAGCTTTAGATTTGAAAGCCTCCTTATCCAAGTCCGAAGTATTATCCCTAAAAGCTTGTAATTCAGCTTGAAATAAAGTCTCAGATAAGGAAACATTGTACTCAATGATGTCAAAATCTCTAGGATTAATCTCAATTTCAGGTGCTTGTGAATATAGAAGCTCCTTCTTCACAACAGAAGTGTCCAGAAAAGACTGAAAAGCATCTATAAAAAACTAACTAATCCTGTGTTGTGCCAACCCTCGGGAATTATAATAGATGCACTGCCCAAAAAATTGTTAGACCCCTGAGCTCTCTCATACAAACGAAAAAGGCCACCAAACCTGTTACGTTCGTAACATATCGTAAAAGACTTAGATGATTCGTATTCTGTTAATTTCCAAACAAGTGAAGATCCTCTCCTGTCAAGTTTCCCAAGTAAGATTTGATGATGAACTCCTTACTTGAATTCAGAGATGCAGATGCGCGAGTCATTCATAGTGAAATGGAATGTTTTGGTTTCAATTTTAACTGAAGTGAGTTCCCCACAAATCACAATCCCTAGGAACAAATTTTGCATCTGTGGTAACTCCACTCTATTGATGGACTCGGGCCGGGTCGGGCCCGGGCCGGGCCTAGGCCCGGTCGGGCCGCCAGGTAGTATGACATGGGCCCGGGACCGGCCCGAGGGTTGGACGGGTCCGGTTCGGGCCGGGCCACCCGCCCGGGTCACGGGTCGGGTCCGGTTCGGGCCGGGCCGGTTAATTTTTTTTTATAATTTATATTTTATAGTTTATAGTTTTATACGAGTATTAAAAACAAACTTCAATTGCATTTATTTGAAATGAAATAGGAACTACATTTGAAAATTAAAACAAACTTTAAGAGATAAAACATTTTGAAAATTGTAATCAATCGGAACTTCCCGCACCTCCCGATCCTTTGGCTTTGTCACATGACTTCATATGTTTGATTGTCATCCCGAATCCGCCTGAAACCCCCATGCTACATTTTTTCTCGCACCATTTGCAAATTGCGTACCACATCCCGATCTTTGGGTCCTTCTGCTTATCAAAATTATACCGTATAATGGCATCTTGATTTTCCATCTTAACTTCTTAAGTATAAACTATAAAGTAGATATATAAATAATAAATATAATATATTGGAGAATAAGAGAATTAGAGAGTAGAGAGTTAAGAATAGGATTTAGGAAGAATTGGAGAAGAGATGAAAAAATGTTTAAGATTAGGAGTATTTATAGGTTTTTTTACCCCCCACCCCCCACCAGCCAACCCCCCCGGACCCCCCCCCCCCTTTACCCCACTCAATTGCTATATAGCCGTTTGGGTTGTCCCCAGCCCCACCCCCAACGGCTAGTAGCCCAAACCAAATTTTTTTTAAAAAAAAATTAGACCCGGGCCCGACCCGGCCGGGCCGGGTCACAATAATCCAGCACCGAGCCCGCCCCGCCCCTTCCCACCGGTTCGGGTCCATACCCGGTCCCGGACCGCCCGACCGGGCCGGTCCCGGGCCCGGTCACGGGCCGGGTGGCCCGAACCGAATCCATCCCTACTCCACTCCCTCTTTGCATTTGGCTTGATGCTGCAGATGGCACCTCTGAAAGAGATAGAAATACCACAAACTAGGGATGGACTCGGGCCGGGTGGCCCGACCCGGAACCGGCCCGGGACCGGCACTGTTCCGGCCCGGCCCGACCCGGTGGCCCGGTCAGTGACCGGTCCAGGTAGGCCCGGCCCGTGGGTTTTCCGGTCCGGGCTCGGGTCACCCAAAACAAGGCCCGGGCCCGGTTCGGGCCAATTTTTTTTTTTTTTTTTTGTTTTTTCAATTTTTTAAACTTTTCGGGTTGGGCTGGGTATTTTGGGCCATTTGGGGTGGTTTGGGGGGTTGGGGGTGGGAGGGGGGTTCATTAGGAAGAGGAAAACAAAAAATATATATATATAATGGGCCCGGCCCGGCCCGACCCGGACCCGGACCGGACCCGGTGGTTACCCGGGCCGGTCCCGGGTCCACCATTTCTGACCCGCCGGCCCGCCCGGGCCTAGGCCCGGCCCGGACCCGAGTCCAACCCTACCACAAACATGTGATCTCCCCGTGCTAGTCATTGAAGTTGTCGGCACATCTCCAAAGAATAAGACCACCCCGATGTTCTTACCAGTCCCTAATTCTTGCCTAGCCTCCACTGATACTGGAAAATCCACAACATCACTGACACCGCAAACAAATCCAATTTTCTCTTTGCCTCAAGCCTGCTAGCAGCCAGATGAAATCCGTCAGGCCAAAATTTTGTTCTCCTCGGATGATCTCTTTGAGTACAACAAGGTGTTGAGACAAACCTTAGTCGACGATGGTTTGCTGCAGGTCGCTGATATCTAAACCCATGATAAGTCGTCCTCAAATTGACATCTTGTTGAGTCATACCCAAATCGTCAACGCCCCAAAAAAAGTCGCAGTTGCTCGAGGTTGGTCTGTTGCATCACTCCCCTGGCCACGCGGATCGACGGTTCTGCTTCGCATACTCGCTCTATTTCTCTCATGGTTAATGGGGTTAAGGGGGGGAAGGTGGGTGTAGTCCATTGGATGGTCTTGCTTCCAATATTCCCATCAAGGGGAGATGAGGGAGGTTTGCTTCCAATATTCTTCCTACCTTCACGGAGTTCATCAGCGGCTGAGAAGGGAGAGGACGGTAATGGAGGTAGCGGGTTCGTGTGGTGGGAGGAGCAGCCTGAAAGGTGACGTAAGTTCTGCTGGATTCATCCTTTGGAGCCAGTACTGACGAGACTGACTGTGATCAGATCCGGATTTAACTGTCTAGGGCTTTGGAAGGTAGTTCATAGACTCCAGGATTATGGGACCGTAAGTCCCGACACCTGGATTATCAAAAAAAAATGAATGGGGTTAAGGGGATAGTTGCCCTTCACTAGGTAATAGATACGCCTCTAAATTAGGGGTGGAGTGGGACCGGGTCAGGTCGGGTCGGGCTTCAGGTCAGGCTGGGGTGACCTTCGGGTCCAAAATATTCAGGCCTGGTACCGACATGGGTTAAAGCTTGGACCGAGTCGGATCAGGTCGGACATGAAATATTTTTTTTTAGTCTTTACGAATTAATTTCAACCCCACCCCCCACCCCAAACCCCCCATAATACCCAGTCCCACCCACCTAGCAGTCAGCCCAATGGGAAAAAAGTAGAAAAATAATAATTGGGTCTGGACCGGTCACCAAAAAACAGAGCCCGTAGCCCGCCTATTTTACTCCCACGTTGGGTCATCGGGCTTGGTCCCGGTCCCGGTTGACCGGGTCGGGCCAAGTCAAAACAGTATCGGTCCGGGTCCCGGGTCGACCCATCCCGTCCCGTCCTAGTCCACCACTACTCTAAATGCATGATATGGACTTTGTAAAGGAGTTAAATGTGATTCCTTACTTTTTTAGCATTACATATGCATGTATCGCGTTAGGGGTGGGTCGGTGAAACTGAAAACCAAATCGAGAAATCTCGAACCGCAATCACAACAGTCCATCCGCAAGAAAATCAAAACTGAACTCAAAAAATCAAACTGAGTTGTAGTTGTTTGATTTTGGTTTTCACATCTCAAAACCGAATCGAACCAAATAAATCAAACTTTTTAAAACATGCTATTCTATTTATTAATCATTAAGTATAATTATTTATTTAGCTTTTCATTCTTAATTCTAAAAAATTAATGTTTGATACATTTGCAAGATATTGATATTTTATATTTATGATTTAATTAAGTGAAATTAGGGATGGACTGGGTCAGCCCGGCCCGGTACCCGGCACGTTACTTTGTGGGACCGGCCCGACCCGAACTGGGGGTATTACGGGATGCATTTTTGGTGGACCGGACCAGTCGGTCCGGGATCAGTCCAGGCCCAATTTTTTATTTTTTATTTTTTCGCATTTATTGGCTACTAAGCAGGTGGGGGCTGGGTGGTTTGGGGGTGGGGGTAGGGGGTTGGAATAAATCAGATTAACCAAATTTTTGAATTAAAAAAAAACTTAGACTCGACTTGAACCGACCCGGTACCGGACCTTGAACCCAAACCCCCAGTCCTGTCCTGGGCCCGTTCCATCCCTAAGTGAAACACGTGTACATACACTTAAGTCTGTCGCTATAATACTAATATGTTGATATTTTAAAGTGTAGTTTACATTTTGCTTGTTTTTGCATGACAATGATATTATGTTAATATATATTATTTTTTATGTGTGTTTCTTATCATATCACTTTCTATATTGAACAAATATGTATTAATATAAATTATACTTTAATCAACATAACAGAAAATGTGAAGCTTTAGAGCATAAACATCTTTGTATAAAAAGAGAGTAAAATAAGTTATTTACCATCAATAAAAGTCTTTTTAGTAAAAAAGAAAATAAATTAGTGGACCCAACATTTACAAATAAAATTTTAACTTGCGGATACACT